CCGTCTCCACCCCCAGCTCTCCGCCCCGCGCCGCAGCCCCGGCCCTCCTGGCGGCAGGTGGGGGTAGTGGCCTTGGCACGTGCCGCTCATTTCCCCCAACCTGGGCCGGCCCCTCGCCTCCCGCTTTCAGGTGGGTAGGTGGAAGATACCTCCATTCCAGCCCCGTCTTTCAGCGAAGGGTCCTCGCTTTCTCCCGCCCTCATCCTGCGCGTCAAACTCGCCACCCTGCGGATTTTGGGAACACTCAGAGGGCAGTAAAGTAACAGGTTATTCCTCATTCGTAGGGGGCCTGGGGTAGGTGCGCGGGACTGGAGGGTCGGAGGCTCCTGGGTTGTTTTACGAGGGTTCTTTTCATACACAGATCAGGTCTTCGGAAAGGAACCTGCCCACCTATCTCGGCTCCCTGGAACCTCGCTCGACGCTCCAGAAGCCCCATCCCGGCCACACGCTGATGGCGTCACCATTGCAGGAAGATAAAGTTCGGTTCTTACTCCTGTAAAAAAAGTAATCCCTTATTTTTTTTCCCTAGTTGATTATTTACTCTTTATGGTGAAAGACAACATCAAAGAGCAGGGAGACCAGTATAATGAGTCAATAGCTAAAACTTTTTGCATTATTTACATCACCACCTTTTCTGCTGAAGAGATTCATATTATATTTCCTGCTTAACAATAGATACTTTATTTCACCGCTAAATAATATACATCTCGTTCTTTAAAGAACATTTATTATAATAAAGAACACAACCATATTATCATTTTCACTAAAACTAATCATAATTACTTAATATTAATTTATGCCCAGTTCAGACTCAGATTCCTCTAGTGGATCCCAAAATGTCTTTTACAGCTGACTTAGACCAGAAAAACTGACCACACATTGTTTTTGATTACCTCTATCTTTTTTTAGCATAAAATAGCCTCCTCCTCTCCCACTCCCACTTTTTTTAAATTTATTTTAATTTTTTTGGAATGACATTGTCTTATTAAAGAAACCAGGCAGCTTTCTACATTTGTCTTATGGCTTCTTCGTGGTGATTCAACAAATTTCTCTCCCCTCAGTATTTCTGTTACCTGGAAGTTAGATCTAAAGGCTGGATTAAACTTATTTACACTTCCAAATAAAGACTTCACTGGCTTCCTTCCAGATTGAGGTGACTTCTAGAGGATGGTGTTTAATTTGTTACATTTATTTTCATTCAACTCTTTTTTCACTGGCATTGTTTGTCATCAGTGAGTCTATTTAAAAGAGCTCATAACTGCTCTTGCTAAAGTGGGAAACCATTGACTGGACCATCTCTGCCTCCTGGCTACACCTATGATCAGGACAAAGCCAAAATGAGGATGGAAGGATAAAAGAAACTAAGACAAAATTTCTTTCCAGCTATTCAAGACCTATTTATTAAATATTTAGTGAGCACCCTCTGTGTGAAAGGTGCTAGCTATCATAAGTGATACAAAAATTTTTTTAATTTTAGACAGTGAATCCTATGGACTTCCAACCCAGTAGAAGGACAGACATTCTGTAAGCTTTGTGAGAGTTACTATTACTACAGTTATTATGTATATAAACTATAAACTATTTAAAGCCATTGCTATGTAAGTTGACTTACAGCTTTGGGGGCAGCAGCCCAGAATGGCAAGGAGCACACAGGGCTGGGAATCTATATGATTAAGATTCCCAAGTTACCAAAATCTCTCAGCTTCAATTTCCTCATCTGAAAAATGTAGTGATTATTATTTGAAAGGATTCTTGTGAGAATTAAATATGATAGTGTCTGCTAAAGCCCAGGGCATTGCCTGGCATGGAGTAGGCACTTAAGAAATGATGTTTATTTCCCATTAGTCTCTCTCTAACAGTCATGTGTCAAATATGGATTTTCTCCTAATAAATGGGAATTTCATTTATGTGCTCAAACACACAGAAAGAGCTGTTCGGCATTGCAAATTCTGTTTCAAGTCAGCTCAGGCACCAGCCATTTCTGTCACTTTAGTGTTGCAAATTTGCAACTCAGAAGACCTAAATCCGATTCTTTGCCTACTACCATCAGTCATTAGAGTGTTTTATCCCTCTAGAAAGATTTATACAGCTCTATGCAGAAAGGTAACCTGCCTTAGGAGTTTAAAATGAAACTTATAGTGATAAAACATCACAAATATTCTGTATTTTCTGAAAGAATTTTTCATACCTTTTAATATTTAAAAGCATAAAATAGTACAATCATCATGTTCTTTTACGTTAGTGATGGAATGAACAGTTAGTAGGGGAAAGTAGCACAATCCTCCTGGAAGATCATTTGACAATAAATACTAAAAGTTTTTAAAATGCTTGTGGTCTACTGCAGTAATTCTATCTTTGGGAATTTGTCCCAAGGATATGAGTAAAGATACATGCAGAAAATGAGCATCTCCGGTGGACACAGAGATGCGCTAGCCAGACTTCCCTTTAGACGTCTGCCTGGCTGCAGAACGCAGCCTCACCTGAGGTCAGTCCCCTACCAGAGCAGCCTTGTGTGCTGATTGAGTGACTTGGGGTTATAAAAGCCCAGTCATTTCCACCCAATTCAGGACAACTCTGTGGGCCCTTTCTGTAGACATGAGGTCTGTTGAGGTTGTGAGCCTGTGTCACAGTTCAGTGTCACAGTTCATCTTCCTCCTGGCCCATTCTTGCTCTTTCCCTCTTTGGTTCCCAGGGGTCAATCCCTAAGAAATATCTTATGCTTCAAATGGCATTTCTGTCAGCTTCTGGAGGACTCAACCTGTAATGGCATTAAGTGTGATTTGTTACGAAATGAGACTCTCAAAGCAATCTAAACAATAGGGGTGGTGGAGTAAATTATGATTCTTCCAAAGAGTGAGATATTGTGCAATCATTCAAAATAAAGGATATTCAATGACACAGAGAGATGTTTAATAGTATATTGCAAAGTAAAAAACAAAGCAATCTCTAAAGCACCTAGATTTGTGATTGTATTTTTAAAATGTGTAATTTTTCCACATAGAACAATTTGGAACAAACTCCACCCAAAAGGTAATACTGGCTATTTCTGAAAAGAGATTTCATACTTCTCTTTTACAATTTTTTTGCAAGAGACATGTATATTACTTTTATAAATGGAAACATTTGTATGACACAAAGATATGTCCAAATCTGACTTTCTATCTCAGCCCACAAACTTCTACCTCTTCATTCCTTGCCTGACTTGTAAATGATACCACATCTAAAGTCTGAGGGTCATAACTAAACTTCCTCATCTCTTACCTCCATGTCCACCCTGTTCCCAGTCCTGTCCTTTTGGTCTCCTCAATTTCATTCCAATTGGCCTCTCTTTTCCATCCCCACTTCAGGCCCTCCTTAGTTCTCAGCTAGATTTCAGAAATTGTATGACCCTTCTAAGGTGTAAATCTTACCATGCTACCAACACATCCTTCCAATTAACAGCTCCTTCAGGGACTCCCAGTTGCCAGCTTAAGGACCATCTAATGGTTGCCAGCACATAAAGTGACATCCTTCAGAACTGGCCACTGCCCTCTCTAACCATGTGTCTTGACCCATGTTTTACCCTTTGTGAGAAATGTGCTTCTCTCCCTTTCTTTGCCTGGTTTTCTTCTACTTATCCTTCCAGGCTCAATTCAGGCCTCTTCCTTCTTAGAATCCTTCAGAAAATCTTTGCAGATCATCCTGGGCTATATTAGGTATCTCTTCTTTATGTAATCATAGCCCCTTCAATCACAAAGTATTATACTGTCTAATCTAAGGAGCAACTTAGGAGTGCCTGGTTCAGTGGTGTTCAACATTGCTTATTGATTAGAGTCCATGTTTGTATGAAATATATAACTCTTGATGCACAGAAGTAATAAAACACTGACAGGAGCAGAGTAGGAAAAAACCAATGATTACTGAAGCTAATACAAGAATTTCTTTACAGCAGGGTTTCTCAACAGAAGTACTACAGACAATTTGGGCTGATAATCCTTTGTCCCAGGCGATTGTCTTGAGCATTGCAGGATGCTTAGCAGCATCACTGGCCTCCACTCACTAGCAGCAGCACCCCTGTAGATGTGAAACCAAAAATGTCTACAGACGTTGCCAAATGTCCCCTGGGGGCCAGATCACCCCCTGTTGAGAACCACTGCTGTATGGGAAGAGACTGGCTGTGCTTTGATACAGTAGAAGTATAACTCAGACTCAAGTTTCTTGAAGCTAGTGGGTGGGGTAGAGTAGAGAGGAGTCAGGTGAATTGGAGGAAGGAGGTTATTCTGTGTTAGGAAAGAGGAAGGGGCAGGAGAGAACTGGGCTGAATGATGCCTGGGGCAAAGATGATACGAAAGAAGGGACCTGGTGGCTGGAAAGAATTGTAAGAAGAAACATGTACAGTGGAAATTCTTCTATTAAAAGAACTGAATTTTGCATTGTGGTTGGATATGGTTCCTTAAAATTTCAACCCTTATGGGTTCATATAGCCAATATCTGGATTGTAGGTATATTTCTCATGTTTATAAAACACCTTTATTAACAGGAAGAATCACTCCTAGAAGGTAGATGAGAAAAATATATTAAATATAATAAAAATTTGCTCTGTTTGCAGGTATTATCTTTTTTTTAATTTTTGGGGGGAGAGGGAGGTAATTAGGTTTATTTATTTATCTATTTATTTATTTAAATAGCGTACTGGGGATTGAACCCAGGACCTCCTGCATGCTAGGTATTCACTCTACCACTGAGCTATACCCTCCCCAGATATCATCTTACATCGAGAAAATTATGAAGAATCCACCAAAAATCTTAGAACTAATAAAAGAATTCAGTAAAGTTGAGGATACAAAATCACCATACAAAAATCAGTTATATTTCTGTACACTAACAACAAACTGTCTGAAAAAGAAAGAAAATAAGTCTATTTATAAAACAGTAAAATATTTAGATTTAACCAAGGAGGTGAAAGATCTCTACACTGAAAATTAGAAGAGACTGAAAAGAAATTGAAAAAGACACAAATACTAAAAAAGATATCCTGTGTTTCATGGATTAGAATAATTAATATTGTTAAAACGTCCCTATTACCCAAAGTTACCTGTAGAGTCAATGCAATCCCTATTAAAATTCCAAAGGCATTTTTCACAAAAATATAAAAAACAATCCTAAAATTTGTATGGGATCACAAAAGACCCTGGGTAGTGAAAGCAATCTTGAGAAAGAAGAGCAAAGCTGGAAGCAGCACACTTCCTGATTTCAAATTTTATTACAAAGCTATAGCAGTAAAAACAGTATGAATGAGCATTAAAAACAGACACATAGCCCAATGGAAGAGAATCAAAAGCCCAGAAATAAACTCACAAGTATATAGTCAACTAATATTTGACAAGGAAGCCAAGGATCCTCATTGGAAAAAGATAGTTTCTTCAATAATAATTTCTCCAATAAATGGTGTTGGGAAAGCTAGTTACTCACATGCAAAAGAATGAAATTGGATGCCTATTTTACACCATTCACAAAAATTAAGA